AACACCAGTGAGTGTTTTGCGGTGGGATGACAACTTCGTAATTGCTGAAAACCTGACTCCCGAGGCCCCGCCCTTGCCCCACCTCCTCCTCCGAAGCCCTGCCCCCTACTCACTCCTTTCTCCCCCTTCCCCCATCGCTGGCTGATCTCCCCCCTCCCTGTCACAGGATTTTCTCATCCTCCCTCCCCCACCAGGTGAGCTTCCTCTGCTCTCCAGGCCTGGGACAGGAGCTGCAGTCTGACTCGGAGCCTGTTGCCCGTTGCCTGCAGGTAGGAGGCGAACCTCACTGAGCAGAGGCTGGCGCAGGTTAATGACCCAGTTCTCCCCCACACACCGGCATCCCCACCCCTGCCCCCGCCCCCGGGTCACTAGACTTTTGGTGTCTGGTCAATACATCTGAATGGACACTGCCAGGTCCCCCTTTTATCTGGACTTTCCAGCGGAAAACCAGGCACCTGGCAACTTATCCCCTTTCCCTGGCCATCGCCTGAACCACACACGGACATCTCCTCCAAGGCAGCAGACTGACAGCGTCCCAGGCTGTAGCCCGGGCACCCATCCAGCCCAAGCCTTTTCATTGCTCTTGCCAGCTCGCACCTTTCGCAGATCTTCCCACGAGCAGCCACGGGCAGGAGGAGAAGCCCCAGGCTTAGCGAAGCCCTGGCGCCGACTTCCTCCTTCCACAAGGCCCCCGCCCCACCCCGCATTTTCCTGGCCCGGCTCCACCCCATGACCGGCCTCTGGGGGGGCCAATTCCACCACCCCCCCCGCTCCCAGGGCCCCCCTCTACAGCTTTTGCCGCCCCCAAGCAGGACGACTGAAGACAGAAGCTGCCGCTGCGGTGCGGCCTGAAGAGTGGGGCCGCTACCGTGGAAAGACAAGTGCCACCCTGACGGCACACGGGCCGCCGCCCCTTTCACGGGGCCGCCCCCAGCGCCCGCCTGGCACGCCGGTGCCGGCAGCCGGCCCTGCCTCCTGCCAGCGCGCCCCGTCCCCGCTCCTTCCCCTCCCCCACCACAGCGCCTCCTGGAGGCCGCAGAACAGCTGCTCTGCAATGGGCAGGACGGGGGGAGGCACGGGGAGGAACCGGCTGATGGTGGATGCTAAGCCACCAACGGAGTCGGTGCCTGTGTAGCAAAGCCTTCATGCTGGCCGCGTAGCGACCCCAGGCCTCCTGCCGCTGAGGCCAGAGGCAAAGCGTGCCTGCTCATGGGGGAGGCAGAACCTGGAACAGCTGGAGTCCCACCCTTCCCGGAAAGCAGCGGCCCCTCCCTGCGGCTCTCGGCTGTTCCTCCTACCGCTCCCTGCAGTTAAAGCAGCCGCCCCTCTCTGCCGCTCCCAGCTTTGAACGATAAACTGCAAATCCTTTGGTAGGTGGGTTAAAAGATTGTCTAGTTCACTGTGGCAGCTGTAAGTTCTGCTAGGTCTTTGAGGATGCAGTGTGCCCTAGTGGACAGAGCGCTGGACTGGGATCCAGCAGACCTACATTGTAGTGCAAGCTTTTCCACTGGGCTGCAGCGTGATCTTGGACAAGTCACGTCACCTCCACTTCGGTGTCCCCATATGCAGAAAGGGAATAAAGATACCTCTCTTGTGGTCTATATGCTCTGTATAACTGCTAGGTATTATTATTCTGATCTAGTAGTATTTTGTAACTTACACTAATAACTCTCAATAATGACTGGCTTTCTACACCCTAAGACGGGGGTGGGCAAACTTTTTGGCCCAAGGGCCGCATCGGGGTGCGAAACCGTATGGGGGCTGGGTAGGGAAGGCTGTGTCCCCCAAACAGCCTGGCCCCCGCACCCTATCCACCCCCACCCACTTCCCAGCCCCTGACTGCCCCCCTCAGAACTCCCAACCCATCCAACCCCACCCCCCGCTCCTTGTCCCCTGACCGCCCCCTCCCGGCACCCTCCACCCTTAACCGCCCCCCTGGGACCCCACCCCCATCGAACCCCCCCTGCTCCCTGTCCCTTGACTGCCCTGACCCCTATCCACACCCCTGCCCACTGACAGGCCCCCTGAACCTCTGCCCCATCCAACCACCCCCTGCTCCTTGTCCCCTGATTGCCCCCCCCACGACCCCCTACCCAACCCAAAACCCCCACCGCCCCCTTACCATGCCGCTCAGAGCGGCAGGAGCTACAGCCCCGCTGCCCGGATGGAGCCAGCCACACTGCCAGCATGCTGGCATGGCTGCGGGGGTGGGGGGACAGCAGGGAAGGGGCTGGTTTCATTTCCTCATTCATCGGTCTACAGTTTGATTTAAACAGAGCATTGCAGAAGTTTGCCAGGCTTGTGTGTATTAATGTATGTGACCAGTGCCGTTTGTGCCAGTGTAATACCAGATCCAGCACTGTCTCCAATATAAATCACAGGTTTTTCTTTGATGAGGAGAGGAGGGAATCGTTCAAGCCATTTGTGAAGCCACAAGATCTTCCCTACTTTCCCATTTTCTTTTCTATCTACTATTCCAAAGACTTGGGAGTCCTAGGCCCAGATCCTATAAAGTATTAATCATAGAATCTCAGGGTTGGAAGGAACCTCAGGAGGTCATCTAGTCCAACCCCTTGCTGAAAGCAGGACCAATCCCCAATCTTTGCCCCCAGATCCCTAAATTGCCCCCTCAAGGATTGAACTCACAACCTTGGGTTTAGCAGGCCAATGCTCAAACCACTGAGCTATCCCTAAGGCACCTTACTCCTGTTGAAATCTATGGGGCTGGAGGAGGCTCTCACCAGAGGTGCAGGAGGTTGTGGCTGTCCCTCCCCATCAGACTTGGAGGGAGGCCAGGCCCCTAGCTCTGCATTTCTGGAAGGACCGGCTCAAAAAGGGATTAGCAGTCTCCATGATTCTTGTTGCCTAGGCCAGGGCCAGACAGCAAGTAGTCCAGGGCAGTTCCCACAGCCTTCAGGTAGTTGAAAGCAGCTATCAAATTCCCCTTCATTCTTCTCTTCTGCAAATGAAACAATCCCAGTTCCCACAGCCTCTCCTCATAAGTCATGTGCTCCAGCCCCCTAATCATTTTTGTTGCCCTCCGCTGGACTCTTTCCAATTTTTCCACATCCTTGTTGTACTGTGAGGCCCAAAACTGGACACAGTACTCCAGATGAGGCCTCACCAATATTGAATAGAGGGGAATGATCATGTCCCTTGATCTGCTGGCAATGTCTCTACTTATACAGCCCAAAATGTTGTTAGCCTTCTTGGCAACAAGAGCACACTGTTGACTCATATCCAGCTTCTCGTCCACTGTAACCCCCAGGTCCTTTTCTGCTGCCTAGCCATTCGATCCCTAGGCTGTAGCAGTACATGGGATTCTTCTGTCCTAAGTGCAGGACTCTGAAACTCATCAGATTTCTTTTGGCCCAATCCTCTAATTTGTCTAGGTCCCTCTGTATCCTATCCCTACCCTTCAGTGTATCTACCTCTCCTCCCAATTTAGTGTCATCTGCAAACTTGCTGAGGGCTCAATCCATGCCATCCTCCAGATCAGTGTTTCCCAAACTTGGGATGCTGCTTGGCCAGGGAAAGCCCCTGGCTGGCCAGGCCAGTTTGTTTACCTGCCGAGTCCGCAGGTTCGGCTGATTGCGGCTCCCACTGGCCGCGGTTCACTACTCCAGGCCAATGGGGGCTGTGGGAAGCGGCGGCTGGTATGTCCCTCGGCCCACGCCGCTTCCCGCAGCCCCCATTGGCCTGCAGCGGCGAACCGCGGCCAGTGGGAGCCGTGATCGGCCGAACCTGCGGACGCGGCAGGTAAACAAACTGGCCCGGCCCACCAGGGGCTTTCCCTGAACAAGCGGTGTCCCAAGTTTGGGAAACACTGCTCCAGATCATTTATGAAGATACTGAACAAATCTGGCCCAAGGACCGACCCTTGGGGCACTCTGCTTGATACCGGCTGCCAACTAGACATTGAGCCATTGATCGCTACCCGTTGAGCCCGACAATCTAGCCAGCTTTCTATCCACCTTATAGTCCATTCATCCAGCCCATACTTCTTTAACTTGCTGGCAAGAATATTGTGGGAGACCGTGTTAAAAGCTTTGCTAAAGTCAAGGAATAACACATCCACTGCTTTCCCCTCATCCTCAAAGCCTGTTATCTCGTCATAGAAGGCAATTAGGTTAGTCAGGCATGACTTGCCCTTGGTGAATCCATGCATGACCTTGGCTTCACCCTACTCCTCCCAGTCCCAGCCCAGGGGTTCTACTACGTGGTCAGTGGGGATCCCACCACAACACGCTGACCAGAATTCTGGCAACACAATTGGACTATCGTCTGGTACCCTGGGCTCCTTCCTACGATCACCTTGCTGTGAAGCTGCACCTCTGTCTTGGGCACACCGCTAGCTGCAATCCCAATAGTTCCTCAGTGCCCTTGTCAGCTCCCTGATTTCTCTTGCCTGGTATGCTCCAATGGAGAGCTAACTCTGCCAGTTGGTAACGTCTCCAAAGGAGCATCTGCTAGCTGGGGTTTGCCGGAGTGCTGGAAGTACCTCTCCTCTCCCTCTGACCTGACAGTGGATGATTCGTGCTTCAATACCTTATTGAACTGGGACCAGCGTGTGTGTTTGTCATGTTGACAATGTAAGAGGACCAGTGTTCTTAACTATTAATTTCTTTGCTTTTAAGTGCTTGGGTTGTGTAAATGATGTGATGAGTGACATCAGTGTAGTTGCTACAATCTTAACATATTTTTTAAGCCCAAATTCATGTTTTTGGAACATAATTATATATAACAGATTACAATTCCGCACCATGTTTTTACAAACTATGATAGTCAATATAAAACATGTAGGTCTCCCTGATTATGTTCTTCTCCCACAATCTTTATCTCATAGTACCAGGCCCTGTTCTTTAAAGGTATTTAGGCTCTTATCTTCCATTGAATGAACATCAATGGAAGTTAAGAGCCTAAATATGTTTGAAGACTTGGGCCCAAGTTCATAATCTCTTATTCAGTTTCTTTTGTATATTAACCAAGAATCACAAAAATGATGCGCAAAGTAAGTAATTTTATTGAGTGTAATGAATGTGAGCTCGAAAGCAAGATGACATAATATTACTAATTAGCAGAACAAAGTAGTAGCAGGATCTCACAGGAAAAACAGATCTGGCTTATTCTAATGTGTATACATAATACAGAGCTAATAGGAGCTCTTTAAAACTGTGTAGAACACAAAATAAGTTACTGCAGCTGGTCACATGGAACGATCCACAGCAAGGAGTAAAATATTTGCATTTTACCAGTCAGTTGCCCTGCAAACCTTTCTCCTGAATTTTTTTTATTCTGAACATGATTAATTGTAAAAGGGAAGCAAGCAAAGAGAATATTTTGCTCTATGTGAAAAGCTCCTTATTTATAAGGGAACCAAGATGCGATAAACCCCATCACTTTATAGCCCACAGCCACGGATCCACAGGGAGACATCTCGTCCTTTGCAGTTCTTTCTCCATGCCACCCTGTTGAGTTAAAAATCACATTAGTTGATTATGGCCATCTCATCAATTAGTGCAAAGCCACCCAAGAAAAAAACAACCAATTACATTTTTGTATGATTAACTTTTCTGCAGAGATCCGAGCTAATATAACAAATAATTTGCTACTGGTCCAATCCCAGCAGAGCACCTGCCTAGTCTGAATGGCCCAGCTGGATCCTGGAGCTATCCATGCCTGAATAAATCCTGAGTCTACCAACAATTCCTAAAAGGTTGTCAAATGGTTGTCAAAAGGCCCACTTACCAGCTGCTATTCCTGCCACATAAATTTGGTGTGTTTGTGACGCTGCTCAGAGGCAACAACTCCATGGGAGCTCCAGGGCTGGAGCACCCTTGGAAAAAAATTAGCATGTGCTTAGCACCCACTGACAGCCAAGCTTCCCCCTCCCCGCCCAGCGCCTCCCGTCCGCCAGCGGCCCCGATGGATCAGCTGTTTCGTGCCGTGCAGGAGATGCTGGGAGGGAGGCGGAGGAGTGGGGACAGGGCATGCTCTGGGGGGAGGGCAGAAAGAGGCGGGAAGAGGGTGGAGCAGGGACAGGAAGAGGTGGGTGGGGTAGGCCTTGGAGAACGGGGTGGAATGGGGGTGGGGCCAAGGTGCGCCAGGAGCAGAAAGAGGCTGGGTGGGGGTGGGGGCTACAAGGAAGGGGTGGAGCGAGGGTAGGGCCTGGGGCTAAGCAGGGTTTGAGCACCCCTGGGGAAAATTGGAAGATGGCCTGTGTGAATTGCTCTCTACTGGATGGAATCAAATTTGTTCAGTGTTGTGCCATAAGCACTATCCTGCTAAATAAAATTAATGAACATTTCCTTTTATCTCCAGCTGGAGGGCACTAAACTTCTGGAGAAAGGTGATTTAAGTTCCATCCCCACTGCCATATGAAGGATCAAGTGGCCCTGTTGTGCAGCATAGATGTAATCTTGAAGTCCTTGGTGGTTCTGGATTTGTTACTTTGGTGTTTGAATTCCTGGGAACCACAGATGCTCACCAAATACATTTCTCTAAGTAGAAGAGTGTGTGTGCTTCTGATGTGGTGGACAAGCAGGGCGAACCTGGGCAGGAAGGGGTTAATTGTCTGTCCTGAAGACAGCAGCTGAAGCCGGTCCCATTTCACCTGCCAGAAGTAACAAGTCTAGAGGGAATTAAAATGGAGGAAAAAGGCTTCAGAGCCAGTCACCTAACAGAGGGATCTTGGGTCTGAGGCCGAGAGGACCTAAGGGGTGGGCTGAGCAATCCTGAGCTAGGAACTGTCAGGTCAGCCAAGTCTGCGGAGGAGGTTTAGACTGGACTTTGTGCTGTTTTATTGGTCATTAGAAAAGTCAAACCCCAGAAGTAGGTGAGTTGTGAACCTAGAGAGGGCACTTGGACTGTTGTTTAGAGCAAATGGGATAGACTGCCATTCACAGTGCCAGTGCTCTATACTGGATGAAATCCAAACTGGTCAACTCTATGTCATAGACCGTACACCTTTAATAATGAATAGGGAGTTGTTTTCAGTCCAAGTGTAGGAGTTTTTCGAGGAGGAAGATCTGAGAGCTATCTCCACTGCTGCTGTAAAGGTCCAAGTCGCCTTCATGTGTATCAGAGCTACAACTGAGACGCCTCAATGTCCATAAATATATTGTGCTGTGAATCCTTAGTGTACAAGTTCTGAGTTCAAATCTGTTAATAATTAAGCATGCAAATATTAGCAACCTGCTTGTTGCTTCTATACAAGCTTGTTTATCCGAAAGAAGAGTGTAGTCTCTCTCTTTTAACTAGCCTCCCCCCAACTATATACACAAGTATGTCACTGTTATTAGTTCTTGTAAGAGTTTTAGACGTACCATGCACCCATGCCATTAGGATCGTGAACAACTCTCTTTGCACAATTTACACTCGCTGTAATGTCTGCTGTCAGTAACTCTAAAAAAGAAATACAGTGGTAAGCGGAGGAAGAAAAAAACATTTTCCTCTTCATTTTTTTAAAATCAGTCATCTTAAAATGGATGCTGAAATAATATTTTATGTATTATTGTTTATTAATCAAGTTGATTACAGTAGCATCTAAGGACCAACCAAGAACAGGACCCTGTGGTGATAGGCACTGTACAAACATAGAATCGTAGATGTTCGTGTTCTGAAGATCTTAGAATCTAAATAGAAAGATAGACCCAGGGTAGGGAAAAGGGATATAACACACAAACAGAGTAAGCAATTTTCTGGTGTCAAGCATCATGTTAGTTCCACAATTTGATCTTAGCTTTAGAATGCTGTAGGTCTGTGGGCTAGTTATAGCATAAGCAACTACTGTAAGTTGTCTTGTATCTTCCTCTGGCACATGTGATAATGGTCACTGCTATTATACACTCCTGGGGGAATTCTATGTCACTGTGTGCATGCATAATTAATGTGCTATGCATATTTTTAGGGTTTTTTCCCCCAGAAAATAGCTCCTGCCAGAAAGGTGCTACAGTTCCACCTTTTACCCACCAAAGGGTGCTGTGGCGCTCCCGGCCAATTAGGGAAGAGAAAGAGCCTGCAATGCCTTCTTCACAGCGCCTGTCGGGCCAGGTCAGGAGACAGGGGACATGGGGAGACAGACATCATGGGGCTGCTGCGGGATCACAGACAGGAGCTCATAAGGGCTAGTTGGGGAGGACAAGCTGGGGGAGGGCCTGAATGGGAGTGGAAGTGCTGGGCCACAGTGGGGAGGGAGTTGCAGGGCCACATGAAGATGGGGAGGGGGTTTAGGGCTGCATGAGGATGGGGGGAGGTGGCTGGCTGAGGGGGTTCAGGGACACATGGGTACAGGGGGAGGAGGTGCAGGGACACATTGGTATGGGGCCTGGCTAAGTGGGGGTGGAGGGACACATGTGGACTGGGGCATAAGTGCCTGACTGAATGGGAGAGGCTAGGGGTCAGCCAGGGTCTGCATGGGGGAAGCTCCCTAACAATCCCTCCCCACCTCCCAAAAACACCTGTTCCATACTTTTCCCACCCATACCCAACAACCTTCTAAGTTCACACCCAGGCTCCTTCCCAGCAATTACTTCCCTCTCCCTCAGATCCTCTGTTACCCCTGACTCCCCCAAGTCTTTGCACTGCTTCTGAGGGGAGCAGGAAATATGGTTCTGTACTATAGTTTAAATGAGTTATTACTCAGAGTCCTGTATTAATATGCCTAGTAAGGAATCTATTTGTCAGAAAACATTTCCTGAATCTTTTTTGTTGTCTGTATTGTTACAGACATACTTGCTGACAGGTATTTCAAAATAAATTACCAAAATGATTGAAACAGATGTGATTATATTGTGTTATTTTGACAAATAAAATATGAAGAATTTTGCAGAATTTTAAAATATTGTGTACAGAATTTTTAATTTTTGGCATAGAATTCCCCCAGGAGTAAAGAGGCTATTGGAGACATTGTATTGAACTAGAAAGACCACTGGTTAGATCCAGTATGGCAATTGCTCTGTTTCTCTCTTTAAAGTTTCTATCTGTTTCTATTAGACTTTGCTGAATTCTATTTAATGGTTTTATTTCAGAACAAATGTCTTCTAGTACTATAAAGGGATACCACACCATCTGCTTCAATATAACACACTTGTCTGAAAATTTTAAATCAACTATTACCACAAGTAGCACCTAAAAGTCACCAGAAATTGAAAGAAATGAGAGAAAAATATTGTTTGGTATTTTTTCCATCTTCTTTCCTTGGTGCCCTTGACAGCTTTTGGGTGTAATATGTCTTAGGTGAGACCATAAATTCTGTGCTAACCCTCTCCAAAAGGGTTGGTTTTACTCTTTCTGAATAGCTATTTTGCTGGTTTTGTGTATAGTCAGACAGACAGTTTTCTATGTTGTTTGTGTGGGTCTCTCACACAGCAACAGAGGAGACAAGTCCAAAAAAAAAAGAGGGATTGTAAAAATACAAAAACTGTCAGGGGACGGGAAGGTATATTGTAGTACTTGAAACTATTTTTAATTCTTTCTTAAAATGGACTAGATTTCAAGTTGATTGTGTCTCTTTAAATTAGAAACTTTAAAATGTTTTTTTTTATAATGAAGCAAGGGCAGGAACCGGCATTTGTGCTGGCCTTCTGCACAGCGGTGAACTTCATCCTCTGAGAACAAAGTTACATGTACTCAAATCAACATAACCGGTAAGTAGTAAATGCTTCTCGAAAAGGGAATTGTTTTTACTAAAGAAACATAAAACAGAAAGTCAGAAAAGAAGGAACACAATTCCTTTTTAAAAAATCCTTTGGGAATCCCCCTTTTATAGCACACATGCATCCCCACACATTGCAACCTCGCCCTTCTGTCTGTAGAATAAGGGGTTGGTTTTTTAATGTAGGGCTACTAGGAGCAAAATATGGCCTCAGTTATAACTTTGCAATGCTATAGGCTCACACAAACAGGCAGAATTTGCCCTTCATAGTGTTACCTGTAGGAACATATTGCACCTACCATGACACTGGATTTTACATGTGTTCTTGGCTCTTGGAGTCTTGCCATCATTACACCACCAGTGGCTGTTGATCTGTAAAATCCCATAGTCAGTGCTTTGGTCACCGGGGTTATAGTTCGTGGCTCCTGTGTTAAAGTTGCTCTCGTATCTTGCTGCGCACACCCCTGTTATTTAAAAAAAATAACCACACACAGACTGATGTATTTTCTCTGGTGATACAAACTCCTCATAGCTTGATACTTTACAGAAATATGAATCTAAATGCCCCTATATCACTGGTTTGTAGATGATGTAAATGATTATTTAATACAAAATACACACAGGCAGTTTTGCTTCCCATTAAATTGATCGGATTCACAATCCTTATTTAATATGAAGAGTAAGAAAAAAAATTCTACATGTAAAACTTTTGATTGTCATGTGAACACCACATGGGGCCAATATCTTTGAAGGAAACACCAGTGAGTGTTTTGGGGTGTAGATTTGCCAACTTTCTAATTGCTGAAAATCAAACTCCTGAGGCCTTGCCACAGCCCCACCTCTTCCCCCAAAGCCCTGCCCCCACTCACTCTTCTCTCGCCCTCCCCCTATTGCTCCATGCTCTCCCCACTCCCTGTTGCTGGATTGTCTCATCCTCCCTCCCTCACCAGCTGGGCTCCCTCTGCTCCGGGGCCTGGACAGGAGCTGCAGTCAGACTCAGAGCCTACCGCACGGTTGTCTGCAGATAGAAGGCGACCCTAGTTGAGCAGGGGCTGTCAAAGGTTGATGACCCAGTACCTCCCCTCCCACTCCCACCCTCTCTGGTAAACGGACTTTTGGTCTCCAGTCAGTACATCTGACTGGACACTGCTGGGTCCCCTTTTTGACTGGACTTTCCAAAGGAAAATGGGCACCTGTCAACTTATCCCCTTTCCCTCCCCGCCCCCTGAATCACATAGACATCTCCTCCAAGGCAGCAGACTTACAATGTCCCAAGCTGTAGCCCTGGTATCCATCCAGCCCAAGCCTTTTCATTGCTCTTGCCAGCTCACACCTTTCATAGGTCTTCCCACGAGCAGCCAGGGGCAGGAGGAGAAGCCCCAGGATTAGCAAAGCCTTCATGCTGGTGGTGTAGCAAGCCCAGGCTCCTATCACTGAGACTAGAGACGATGTGTGCCTGCTAATAGTGGGGAGGAACAACAGGGAACAGCTCAAATCACGCTCCGCCCGGAAAGCAGTGGCCCTTCCCTTAGCTCTCAGTTGTCCCTCCTGCCACACTGGGCAGCTAAAGCAGCAGCCCCTCCCTGCAGCTCTCAGCTTTGAATGATAAACTGCAAATACTTTGGTAGGTGGGTTAAAAGGTTGTCTAGTTCTCTGTGGCATCTGTAAGTTCTGCTATGTCTTTGGAAATGCAGTGTGCCTAGTGGACTGGGCACTGGACTGGGATCCAACAGACCTACATTGTAGTGCAAGCTTTGCCTCTGGTCTGCCGGGTGACCTTGAACAAGTTACTTTACCTCTGCCTCAGTTTCCCCATATGCAGAAAGGGGATAATGATACCTCGCTTGTGGCCTATATGCTCTGTCTAGGTATTGCTAGGTATTCTTATGCTGAGCAAGTGCTATTTTAAACTTACACTAATAAGTCTCAGTAATGACTGGCTTTCTACACCCTAAGAGAACAGTTTATACTATATCTTTTTCTCCAGGGGTGGGAGAACACCTTTATTACAGGGATGTGTGCTAAATTAGGGCCCTGGCGCTGTCTACCAACTACTGATACCAACAGGGCCTGCTCAGCAGACCTAAATTCGCAATAGCACTTTGCAGACATTGACTTTGATGTGTAAATTTAAAAAAATTAATATGAATGTGAATTTTGTTTTTGTAAAAACTACAAGGTCAGATGCTAAGATTTCTGTTTCTGTAACACTGCAGAATGACAATAGTGACTCTGTAGTTAATGTTGTGACTGAGTTTCCCATTACAAGCCTGATTTGGGCTACTCCATCTAAAATGCCCAACCAGAGGAGTGTCAGCTTCGAAACCGGTAGGAGAGGCCTGAGGGAGAGGGAAGACTTTACTAAAAAGCTGAAATGAATTGGACACCCTAAGCGCAGAAGTTCAGAAACAAACATTCTTCTTTTGGGTGGGGGGAGGCTGGGGAAGGAGGAGGGGTTAGTGTATATATATTTGTCCCTCTGTAGTAAAATAAAGTGAGGAGAGATCACATTAAGGTTACTGAGTACATCTGTGTGCTAGCCTGTTGGCCCAGAGTTAAATCTAGTTTGTGCTTCTTAATGATGACTTTCCAAACTTTCCAGTGTGTGAGTTTCCCTGAATTTCCTAGGTTTACCCAGGCCCGCCGATGGGGGAGCGAGGGAGTAATGGGGCAATTGCCCAGGGACCCAGGTGGTTTAAAAGGGCCCGTGGGGGCCCCGGCCGCTGCCACCGGCAGCGCAGCAGAGGTAAGGCAGGCTTCCTGCCTGCCCTCACTCCACACTGTTCCTGGCTAGAACGGCTCTACGGCCCTGGAGGGGACAGGGGTCTCCGCACACTGCCCCCCGCACCCATCACTGGGGGTGGTGTCTGTGGGAAGTGGCACACGGAGACTCCCTAGACCCCCCCGGCTAGGAGCCGCTGCCAGGGTGTGCCGGTCACTTTCAGGAGCCACCTGAGGTAAGTGCCAACCCCCTCCTGCACCCCAACCTAAAGCCTGCACTGTGCACCCCAACTCCTGCCCAGAGCCTGACCCCTCTCCCTCACCCAAACTCCCTCCCAGAGCCCACACCCTGTTCTTTATTATTATGAAAGCAAGGATGGCCCAGTGGTTAGGGCAGTGGCTTGGGGACACAGTTCCCTCTTCTGCCACAGATTTCCTCTATTGTTTGGTCTCTGTGTGTCTTCGCTCCCTACATTATGGAGGTGGCATGCAGTGCTCACATACTTTGATGGTGGGAGCCATTTAAATGCCATAGATGGACTCTATGTGCTATGGGCCTCTGTTTTTCCATAACAAATACAGCTAAAATGCTCCATTCTTGGGCCCCAGGCCTAGATTGTTACCTTACTGCACATGCAATTTATATATGTTAAGGAAAACCCCACACACCAGAACAGTACTGTATTGATTTTTATCTTAATTAGGAGAATTGTGCAAATACAGGCAGAGAAGAGAACAGCACTATGAAGAAAGCCCTTTTGGGAAATACCGAATTAGTATTTTTAACTACTTGTTAAGAAATGTGTGGTTTTCTGTTACTCAAAGAAAAACATACATTGTTTCGTTTCCTCATTCATCTGTCAACCATTAGATTTTAACAAAGCACTGCAGAAGTTTACAAAATGAGAGGTGTAAATATATATCTCTAGTCCCATTTGTGCCAGTGTAATTCCAGGTCCAGCACTGTCTCCATTATAAATCACAGGTTCTTCCTTGATGGGGAGAGGAGCCATTTTTGGAGCCACAAGATTTTTCCTACTTTCACATTTTCTTCTCAACCTGCTATCCAAAAGACATTGGAGTCCTAGGCCCAGATGCTCAAAAGTATTTAAGTGCCTAACTCCCATTGAAATCTATGCTGGGCTGAAGGTTGCTCTCCCCAGAAGCCATCAGCACCAGTGCAGCCAGAAGCATTGCTGGTACAAGATGCTTTTCCCTTTCCTCAAGTCTCCGTCATCAGGGCCTAAGTGTATGTTCTGCACAGCAATGCTATCGAGTGCAATTTTTCCCAGGCTGGCCCAAAAGCAGAAGAGCAAGGGCCAGACTCTCAGCTGGAACAAATCCATGACTTCAATGGAGCTACACCAATTTACATCTGCTGAGGATCTGGACCAAAGTTGGAGAGTTCTTTTCCATACAATGTATGGCCAGACAGGAGAGCCCTAAACGATGTTGTTCAGGATTTCCTAACTTCAGAAAGTATAAAAAATGTCAACTGTGGCAATTTAGTGAAGATAACACCCCAACTCTGTCATTTTAAATGTTGATTTTGGGGGTATTTTTAGTATGATCTTTCAGTCTTTGTGTGTGATAGACATTTATATAGTGTTTTTCTCCAAAAAAGCCAAAGCACCAGACTAGCTATAAAACTGTGCAATCAGAGAACACTCCACCCGCCCCTGAATGCAGCTACCTCTGACACTGAAAACCTTTAAACAGTACAAAGCAGCATGACATTGAAGAATTCTGTGTCCATTGTGAGTTCTAGCTGAACATAGATAGCCAGAATGGAATCACCCCATTGGAATCTGACTCGAGTTTAAACTATGACTGCTAACTCTTCTTAGGTCTTTAGAAGCAGGGCTGTACCGCCAATATTTTAACAATGGGCTCCCTCAAAAGTGTGCCATTCCCAGGGTAAAATACTCCCCCTTACCCTCCTCGTGCCCCCAATATAAAAAAATTCAATTCTACACCCTTTCCCTCAACAAACAGCCCTAGCTGACACAACACTACCCTTTTCCTGGCCCAGTACTTCTTGCGTCACCACGTTTTCCCCCAAACCACCCTCTCATAGAAGGCTCCTTGAGGTGGGTCCCCTACATGACAGCTCTTCCTCACAGAAATAGCAATGATGTCAGGTGCCTGCCTGTGGCTTCTTCAGGCAGCAGTTGTGGTAGGTTGGGGTGATGTCCCTTCTGTGTTGATCGTTGGTTGGGTATTGAGTCCCCTTTGTTTCTTAATGTTGATGGCTCTTCTCTATGTGACATGGGAGGTTAGGAGTTAGAGTGGGTTTCCAGTGGCTGTATTACCCGAGAATTGAGAGGTGTGTTATTCCAGAATTTGATTATGCTAATTACAGCCATATTATGTGTATTCAGCCACCATGAATTAATAAAACAGAACACCACATAGTTAAGGGTTAATTTGCACCAGCAGGGCTTGTGGAGAATACAGGCTCCAAGCTTACAGTTTCTATTTATCGTGATGGGAGGAGGGGAGAAAAGCATCAACAAATTATGAGACTGAAAGAAAATAAGTGGATGCAGACCTTGAGCTTGGGCGCTTTTGATATAGAAGCTTATTATGGCTAAGATTGTTAGGAATGTTTTGTTAATAAGTAGTTGTTTGAAGTTAGGAGAAGTGATGACCCACTAGGGGTCACAATGAGCTATGAGTTTTGTAAAAATTAATTATAAAAAAACTAGATAATGGAGTATACTTTGGAGCAGTTCTCTGAAGCTATCCTGAGAGACTTTTTCCCAACACCATATTCTCTGGCAGGGAAGCGCCTGGCCATTGCTGATCTGCTGCTAATCACTCAATACCATCTCAGAGTTTAGGTAATTATTTGGAATGTTCTAAACCTATTGCTTATGTCTGTGTGTGCTTAAATCTAATAAATAGTAGTTTTAGGTAAGAGCCCACTTACTTATATCAATCTTTCATCAGCTGGAAGCGCTGTATTCCCATTGATTTATTCCTGACACTGACTGGAATGAAACAGTTAAGTTACTACTGGTTTGGGTTCTGAAAACCCTGGGTAATGGATCTGGTGAGCCAGTTGCCAGGAGTGATGGAGAGGAGGGGACAATTGATACAAGTAGTTTTTGTTTGCAGTAAGGGAAGGGAATGGTGGAACAGGATCGCAAGCTGTAATTTTCCATGTTGTAGCCCATGAGTTGATTTATGGTTACATTCTGCTTCTGATTCAGGGCTCAGGCTGACAGCCTGATCGGGTAAGAAGACATGTTAGAAGGAAAGGGAACATCTGGAAAGAAAGAAAAGTTGGAAATGATCTTGGGAAATAGCTTGAATGATTTTGTACAGGAGCATGGTATTGGTCTCTGGAAGCCTGGGAGCTTCCTGTGGCTCTGTAAGCGGATGGTAGTGATGATAGTAGGTACAGAGATAGATCAGTTAATGACAGAAATAGAGGAGTTAAAGAAAGATAAAGTTGAGAAAGACAAAGAGATATCCAGCCTGAAGGCTGAATCATATACCCTTTTACCTTTCAAGGGAAACAGTTGTGTCTTGCCACGGTCCTCATGGGCTGGAACAATGCCCCTATTATTTGTCAAGATGCCCCTGTAGTCAAGATGTGGGATGGTATGCCTGAAGGAGACAGTGTGATTTCTTATGTGGATGACAACCTGGTTTTCACTCAGACCCCAAGGAAGAGAATTTGGAAGTATTGGACAGGGTGTTACAAAAGATTCAGGAAGCTGGGTTTAAAATAAATCCAAAGAAAGACCCAATCGTGGTCCCAACAAGTAGACTATTTTGGAGTGATTTTGAGATTTCCCCTGATCAACAGAATGTGGAACTGATACTTAAACTACCAATTCCCACAGATGCCACAGCTCTTAGATCCTTTCTGGGAATGGTTAATTTCTCCCGAGATGTTATTGAGGGAGTTTTAGAGAGGGCATCACGTGAAAGGTCTGGCAGGCGAGACGAACCACCCTGAGCTCCTTCACATTGATATGGAGCAACTGTTCTGCTCCGGACCATAACCCCTGCGTCATGAGGTCCCCCAGGTGAGCCCCCCATCCGGGGTGTGACGCGTCCGTCACCAGCATCCGGTCCAGTTGTGGGGCCGCAAAGGGGATGCCTTCGCAAACCGCAGGCTGGGACTGCCACCACAGCAGGGAGTCCAGCACGTCCCTTGGGGCTGTCACTACCAAGTCCAGGGGGTCCCTGCCTGGGCGGTACACCCAAGCGAGCCACGCCTGCAGAGTCCTGA